ACCATATGTTAGGTCACGATACAAGTCTTAAAACATTCAAAAAAAAATGAAATAATATCAGGCATCTTTGATCACAATGGAATAAAAATAGAAATCAATAACAAGAATTTTGGAAACTATACAAATACCTGGAAATTAAACAATATGTTCCTAAATAAGCAGTGGGTCAATGAAGAAACCAAGAAGAAAATTGAAAAATTTATTGAAACTAATGATAATGGAAACACAACATACAAACACCTATAGGATACAGCAAAAGGAGGGAAGTTTATAGCTATAAAGAGGGAAGTTTATAGCTATAAAGTTTAGTTATATATAAGTTTAGTTATTTAGTGCCTAAATAAAAAAAAGGTAAAACTTAAAATAAAGAACCCAATAATGAATCTTAAAGAACTAGAAAAGCAAGAGCCAACTAAACTCAAAATTAGAGGAAGAAAAGAAATAATAAACACCAGAGCAGAAATAAATGAAATTGAAATGAAGAAAACAATAAGAAATAAAATAAGTAAATAAAATAAAAAGTTGGTGTTTTGAAATGTTAAACAAAATTGACATACCTTTAGCCAGAGTAAGAAAAAAAGAGGGAAGATCCAAATAAATAAAACCAGAGATGAAAAGGAGAGATTACAACTGATACTGCAGAAATTCAAAGGATCATTAATGGCAACTATGAGCAACTATATGCCAATAAAGTGGAAAATCTAGACTAAATAGAGAAACTCCTCTACACATATGACATATCAAGACTGAACCACAAAGATAATCCAAAACCTGAGAAGACCAATAACAAGTAACAAGATTAAAGCTGTAATAAAAAGTCTCCCAGTAAAGAAAAGCCTGGGACCTGTTGGCTTCACTGCTGAATTCTACCAAATATTTAAAGAACTAATACCAATCCTACTCACACTATCCTGAAAAATACAGGAGGAAGGGATACTTCCAAACTAATTCCACGAGGCCTGATACCAAAATCAGACAAAAACAAATAAAAAAATACAGGCCACTATCTCTGATAAATATTGATGCAAAAATCTTCAACAAACTACTAGCAAATCAAATTCAACAACACATTAAAAAGATTATTCATCATGACCAAGTGGGATTTATCCCTGGGATGGAAGGATGGTTCAACAATGGTGATATATAGTATCAACAGAATGGAGGACAAAAACCATATGGTCATTTCACTTGATGCCGAAAAAGCATTAGATAAAGTGCAACATGCCATCATGATAAAAACCTTAAAAAATGGGTATAGAAGGAACATACCTCAACATAATAAAACCTATATATAACAGACCCACAGCTAGTATCATACCAAATGGGGAAAAACTGAAAGTCTTTCCTCTAAGATCTGAAACATGACAAGGATGCTCATTGTCACCATTGTTATTCAACATAGTACTGCAAGTCCTAGTTAGAGCAATCAGACAAGAGAAAGAAATTAAGGGCATCCAAATTGGAAAGGAAGAAGTCAAATTACCCTTGCTTGCAGAGGATTTGATCTTGTGTTTGGTAAAGCATAAATATTTCACAAAAAACTATAAGAACTAATAAATTCAGTAAAGTTGCAGGATATAATGTCAACATACAAAAATCAGTAGCATTTCCCTATGCCAGCATTGGACAATCTGAAAAAGAAATTTAAAAATAATTCCACTTACAACCGTCAAACATAAAATTAAATACCTAGCAATTAACTCAACCAAAGAAGTGGGAGATCTCTGTAATAAAAACTGTAGAACACTGATGAAAGAAATTGAAGAGGACACCAAAAAAAATGGAAAGATAGTCCATGTTCATGAATTGAAATAATCAATATTGTTAAAACGTCCATACTGCAAAAAAGCAATCTACAAATTCAATGCAATACTTATCAAAATACAAAAAAACATTCTTCATAGAAATAGAAAAAAGAATCCTAAAATTTATACGGAGCCACAAAAGACCCAGAATAGCCAAAGCTATCCTAAGCAAACAGAACAAAACTGGAGGAATCATATTACCTGACTTCAAATTATACTACAGAACTACAGTAATCAAAACAGCATGGTATTGTCACAAAAACAGACACATAGACAAATGGAAGATAATTGAGAACTCAGAAACAAATCCACACACCAAAAGAACTCATTTTCCACAAAGGTGCCAAGAACATACACTGTGGAAAAGACAGTCTCTTCAATAAACGGTGCTGGGAAAACTGGATATCCATATGCAAAAGAATGAAACTAGATAGCTATCTCTTGCCATATACAAAAATCAAATCAAAATGTATTAAAGACTTCAGTCTAACACCTCAAACTATGAAACTACAACAAAAAAATACAGGAAAAAGTCTCCAGGACATTGGTCTGGGCAAAAAATTCTTAACTAGTACCCCACAAGCAAAGGCAATCAAAGCAAACATGAACAAATGGGATCATATCAAGTAAAAAGTGTGTGCACAGCAAAGGAAACAGTCTACAAAGTAAAGGTGCAATGGGAGAAAATATTTGCAAACTACCCTTTTGACAAGAAATTAATAACCAAAATATATAAGGAGCTCAAACAACTCAATAGGAAAAAAATCTAATAATTTGATCAAAATTGAGACAAAGATTTGAATAGACATTTCTCAAAAGAAGATATACAAATGGCAAACAGGAATGTGAAAAAATACTCAATGTAGTTGATCATCAGGGAAATGCAAATCAAAACTAAAATGGAATATTATCTCACTTCAATAAAATGGCTTATATCCAAGTGACAGGCAATAACAAATGCTGGCGAGAATGTGAGGAGGAGGGAATGCTTGTACACTGTTGATGGGAATGTAAATTAGTACAACCACAATGGAGAACAATTTGGAGATTCCTCAAAAAACTAAAAATTGAGCTACCATATGATCCAGCAATCCCACTGCTGGGTATATACTCCAAACAAAGGATATCAGTATTATCAAAGAGATATCTGCACTCCCATGTTTGTTGCAGCACTGTTTACAACAGCTAAGATTTGGAAGCAACCAAAGTGTTCATCAACAGATACATGAATGAAGAAAATATGGTACATATACACAGTGGTGTACTAATCAGTCATAAGAAAGAATGAGATCTAGTTATTTACAACAGCACGGATGGAACTAGAGATCATTACATTAAGTGAAATGGGGCAGGCACAGAAAGACAAACATCACATGTTCTCACTTATTTGTGGAATCTAAAAATCAAAACAATTGAACTCATGGAGATAGAGAGTAGAAGGATGGTTACCAGAGACTGGGAAGGGTAATGGGTGGTGGGGGAGAGTGGGGATGGTTATCGGGTAGGAAAAAAGAATGAATAAGACCTATTATTTGATAGGACAGCAAGGTGACTATAGTCAATAATAATATAACTGTATAATTAAATTGTCTGTAACACAAAGGATAAATGCTTCAAATAATGGACACCCCATTGTACATGATGTGATTATTACACTTCGCATGTATCAAAACATCTCATATATCCCATAAATGTATACAACTACTAGGTACCCAGAAAGGTTTAAAAAAAATTTAAAAGACCCAGCAAACAAAAAATTTTACATTCAAAAAGATAAAAAGAGTTCCTAAAATTGTAAAATATGTACCTATTCTAGACTTGTATGTACATACTAACAATGCCTCAAGTGTACAAAGCAAAAATTGTCAAAAGTGTAATAATTTGACAAATCCATAAATACAGTGGGAGATTTTAACTCTCTCGGTAACTGATAGGTCCAGCAAACAAAAAACTTAGGAATAGAGAAGATTTAAACAACACAATTAAATTTAATGAACAGAACACTACATGCAAAAATCAGATACACAGTCTTTCCAGGCACACATAAAACATTAGTTGATCATGTTCTCTGGGACATAAAGCAAGTTTCAACAAACATTAAATAATCATTATCACATAAGCAATATTGTCTCTTAAATGGAAAATAACAAAACGTTAAGCTAAAACACAGCTATATACAATGACTTAGTTTCTAAATACTGTCTCCAGAAAGAAATGATTAATGGGGTAGGAAGTAAAACACAAGCCTGAAAGTAAGGAAGTAAAAAAATTTTAAAGTAAGTAAAATGTGTGTTTAAGAATGATGAGACATGTCAAAAGACAGGTGAGCCAACTTAAATGGGTAGCCAGTCACTAAATCTGAGACAATTTGGGTATTAAAATAAATAATAACAACAGGGTATTTTAAAAATAAAGTAAAAATCTATGTGTCCAAAGTAATTAATAAACAAATAAATGGAGAAAAAGCTCTACATTGATGTAGAATATAAACTAATAAATGTAATAAAAATGATGGAGTTTGAAAATCACCATTTTGCATTCATCATAGCAATATCTGATTCAGTCAAGAATTATCAATGGATTTGAAAACTAGTGGATGATAGTTAATGAGGAACAGGATATTTACATAGTCTCAAAGTATTCCCAGCAAAATCATTAATTATAAAGAGGAAAATTGTAACTGTAAAGTGGATTAATCTAGCAACTATTCACAATGTTAACCAAGTAATCAAAGTTAACTTTACTACTAGAGGGTCAAACCAGCATCATGTGCCACCAATATGATGCCCTGAGAACAACACTTCACTTCTGTGGTGCTTTTGCTAATATGCGTACTCTAAATAATGGGGAAATGGCAAACAAATTTAAATTAAAGGACAATCTATGAAATAAGTGTCCTATATTTACACAAGAGCCAATTGCCAATGTGTGATATTGTGATATATATATTGAAATTGTCCATGGTTCCTGGCTCATAACTCCCAAATCTCTTGTTATTTCCTAAGCGACTAAAATAATAAGCACATCTTTTGTTAAAGTATTTGGTCTTTTGTCTTTGGTTCCTGAAGCAGCTTTGAAACAGCTTCAGAGAAATAAAAGTGAGAGACAGTCTATACATATATATATATATATATATATATGTATGTATATATATGTATAATGTTGGGGCACTTTAGGATTCAGAAAACAGAATCTCTGTCTTTCTCCTGCCCTCCTTTTACCTGCTTTTTTTTCTCCCGAAGGCAAGCCATAGAAACTAAAAATACACTCTAATCTTCACCCGGCTTTCTGTCTTGGAGCTGGATGTAAAGAAATTCTCTGACCTATCTAGTTTGACTGTGGGTCATTAGACCCCCATTTCAGAAAGAGTCCTGTCCCATACCCAGGAGGAAGGAATGCTGCACAAAGAAGCCAAGAAGAATCTGAACAGGCAAGCCTTGCTGGGTTTCTCCACCAAGTCTATTGGTATTAGATCATACCCTTTAGTCCAGTCACATTTCTACATGGCTGTTCATGTTTCATTAGTGCCTATCGAATGAAGTCTTCATAAAAAGCACAAGAGGACAAAGTACAACTGAATTTGTGGAGGATTGTAGAAAGGTGAAAAATAACTCATCCATATGCCAGGAGGGTGGCACACCCCAACTCCACAGGAATGGAAGCTCCTGTACTCAGTATCCTTCCAGACCTCACTCTATGTATCTCTTCATCTGGCTGTTTATATGTAGCCTTTAAAATACTCTTTATGAATAAAGGGGTAAATGTAAGTAAGTGTTTCCCTGAGTTCTGTGTGTTTTTCTAGCAAATTATTTGAGCCTAAAGAGAGGGGTTGCGGGAACCCTAACTTGAAGCAGGTCAGTTAAAAGTTCCAGAGGCCCAGATTTGAAACTGATGTCTAAAGTTGAGGCAGTCTCGTGGGACTAAGCCCTCAGTCTGTGGGATCTGATACTTTCTGCAGGAAGATAGCTTCAGAATTGAATTGGATTGGAGAACACTCAGCTGGTGTCCACTACAGAATTGTTTACTTGCTTGTTGGTGAGAAGAAATCCCAATACATTTGGTCACAAGTTTTCTGTGTTGGTTGTTGTGGTACAAGAGCCAAAGAAAAACTGTTTTTTTCCACAAAATCAGCGTCAGAAGTGGGGTTGTGAGAATATAATGACAGAAGCTGAGTTTGTTTTTCTACACACATAAAAGACAAAGAAAGGTCAAGGAATTGTTCCATATTAAAAACTGGAGAGACATGACAAGTAAATGCAATGCATCATCTTGGATTAGCACTTTGACCAAGGAAAGAAAATAACCATAAAAGACATTATTGGGACAACTGATAACATTGGAATATGGCGTAGATTATAATATTGAAACAATGTCAAATTTCTTGATTGTGACACATTTACTGAGGATGTATAAGAGGAAATCATCACTCTGAGGAAATACATACTGACATATTAAGAGGTAAAGGAGAATGATATTTGCAAATTACTATCAAATAGGAGAAGGAGAAGGAGAGGAAGAGAAAAACAGAATGATAAGGCAAATGTGATAAAATGGTAATTGGTGAATTTGGGTAAAGGGCACTTTGGGAGTTCTTTGTAATATTCCCAGTTTTTCAAGTGTGAAATTAAATAAAAATAAAAAATTTAAAAACATGAATACAAAATTCAATAATAACTACATCAATATCAATAACCACACTTTTTCTATGTATTTAATGAAAGAAAATGTTTTCTATTGCCAAATTCTGTTGGGATGAGCAGCCAATGTATAATTTTTGTATCTTGTTATAAGAAGGATTAAAAAAAATTAAAGCAAGTCAAAATGGCTGGCAAGCAGGCCATTTCAGCATCAGGCAAGTGGCTGGATCGTATTCAAAAATGGTATTACAATGCTGCAGGATTCAATAAACTGAGGTTAATGCGAGATGATACAATATATGAGGATGAAGACGTAAAACAAGCCATAAGAAGGCTTCCTGAGAACCTTTATAATGACAGGATGTTTCACATTAAGAGGGCACTGGACCTGACCATGAAGCATCAGATCTTGCCTACAGAGCAGTGGACCAAATATGAAGAGGAAAATTTCTACCTTGAACTGTATCTGAAAGAGGTTATTCGGGAAAGAAAAGAAAGAGAAGAATGGGCAAAGAAGTAATCAAGTAGTTGAAGTCTGTGGATGCAGCTGTTATGAAGATGGTCAAACCTGAAACAAACAATGTTAAGAATTATTTGGTCTGCAGATGTTTTACTTTAAATAAATGTCTATTGTAATGGCTGGAGTTTTTGAATTCCAAACCTTATACTGAATAACTACTGAATCCATTTACTGTTAAATTTGTTTTCCAAACTTTCAAGATATTTTCAGTCGTGTTTAAGTGCTTTCTGGAGCTCAGAGGCCACTTTATCAGTTTTCCTCACTGGTTAGATAGCCTATCAGTTTATGGAAGGATATAACTTCCGTAAGTTACATCCTTATGGAAGCTACTAAATAAAAGAAGGGGGTATGCATCCCCTAGTTTGCCAGGATTCAGAAACAGCCTCTTCACTGCTATCTGAATAGATTTGATTTTGCATCCTATCATTTAAAAAGAAATTAGGTATGCACCCCAACATAGGTATACTTAAGTAATATATATACTCCTGTGCTAACATGTAGACTAGAAGACAAAAAGTAGACACTAGAAAAATAGAAGTACAAAGACAAATCATACTTGTCCCCATATCCCAGTAACTTTTCCACTTTGGAAATGATTGTTATAAAGTTTAAGGGTTGGATACTAATCAGTTAGAAGTTTTAAGATTGTAAGGTAATTTTTAAAAATATAAATTAGAATCACTGGCCAAGTGCGGTGGCTCATGCCTGTGGTCCCAGCGCTGTAGGAGGTTGAGGTGGGTGGATCTCCTGAGGTCAGGAATTCGAGACCACCCTGGCCAACATGGTGAAACCCCATCTCTACGAGGGATGCGGAAAATTGGCCGGGCGTGGTGGCGGGCGCCTGTGGTCCCAGCTGCTCGGGAGACTGGGACAGGAGAACTGCTTGACCACGGGGGTGGAGGTTGCAGTGGGCCTAGATCGCGCCACTGCACTTCAGCCTGAGCGACAGTGGCTCCATCTCAAAAAAAAAGAGAAAAAATTAGAATTATTCAATGTTGTCATCATTTCCACTCCTAAATTCTGAAATGCTTTCTTTGGTGGAGGTGACAGTCTAGAGCCACAGCTAGTAGAGAAGGAACAGTAGGACCTGCAGCCTCCCTGGTTTTCCAGGACAAGTCATTGCTGTGTGCGGCAGGAATGCCTTACACCTCAAATAACAAAACGGTGTGAAAAACAAATTTGAGTTACATTTAAAATTTGTAAAGCAATGAGAAATGTGTGTATCATAAAGAGCATCTTTAAATTTTTGCTAAAATATTAAGCCTCTTAAGTTCCCTAAGAATCCCACCCTCCCCCCCCTTTTTTTTTTTTTTGCTGGTCAGATTATTTTTCTAAACCTATCTTGAAATCATGACAATTTTCTTCTGTCTGGTTCAAGATGACTAGATCACTTGATAATGGTTTTGCTCAGGTCACACTGTGACAAGGTTTTAGTGTAGTCCTACTTTGCAGAAGGAGGCAGAGAAGATGGGCTGTCTAGAATCCCCTTTAAAAGCATTTGTCTATTCAGAAAATTTTCCTGAGTAGATCTCTCCAAAGGTTCTTTTAATTGTGATTTCAAGATCACTTTTGCAGGACTCTGGTCTATTTGTTCAGACATGTACTGTGCACAATTACAAGGAGACTAGAACTGAGGCATCTCAAAAAGCACTGTCAAGGTGTGTAGGGAGCTGGGTGGGTGGAGGGAGGCTGGGTTCTGACCCTAGAAACCATGCTTACGAATGCAATTAATGTTTAAAGCAAGTCTAAGGGCACTGCTGAAGGACAGGGGAACAAATAGAATGGACTAAGATTAAGGTATAACGGAACCCCCAGGCTATCTACCTGCTCAAGGTAAAAAGTGTGGTATTATGTAGGGCAACCTCTGATTTTGTGAAAGTTCTTCCTAAAGCCAAAGTGAATGCCTATTCTATGTCTCCAGATTATTTCACTCGTCTAAATGAGAACAAGTGTGCAAAAGTTCTTTGAACACTAAATCAATGTTTTGTATTGATTATAAATTACGGTTATCGTCCTGCTTGTTATGAAGACTAAGAAAGTAGATCTAGTATTTCGCTCACACAGGTGAATGGGTGAGAATTTGTTAATCCATCAGTGAAGTCCTTTCATTTGAAAGAGAGAGCCTTTCTATTATCAAAAGCTGTCCTGTGTGAAAAATCACCATGAGAGTGCCTGAAACACACAGGCTTGTCGTCCTGTAGACAGAATGGTAGAGTGATTCAGAGCTAATTCTGGGTTAGATTGCACAGGTCTGAATCTATTTGCTAACTGTGTAGTGCTTTAGGAATACAATTTAACCTCTCTGTGCTTCCGTTTCTTTGGCCCTAAGACAGAGCTAATGATAGAAACCTACTTTACACAGTTGTGAAAATTAACTGACTACATGTCAAGCACTAACAGTCTCTGGCACATAGTATGCATAATGTAAATTATGTGATGAGAAGCGAGAAAGAATAACTTGGGAAAACGCTGAATATCATCAAAGTTGAATAGCTAACCAGTAGCTAAGGTTCAAGGTCCCCTCTCTTCTTCCTTCTATGTGGCACTCTTGTTTCTGGTCCGTCTACTCCCCTTGGGTGTCACCTGCTTGAGTGAAGCACCTGCTGGAGATGAGAAGAGTGGAACTGGATCTGCATGACAGCTTTGATTAGGATGGAGCTAAGACTTGGCTATCTCCCTGTTTTGTGTTTTGGATAGGTGACATTTTAAAACTGCCAACATTAAAATCTTGCTAATTTGCTTTGTACAGTTTAAAATGTTTGATATCTTTTATTGTTTAAAGTTTGAGATTGGTTTTGAATGTACGGTTTTCCTAAATCTTGAAGAAGGATATGTTTGTACTCTGAAGTGGTCTATGTTCTGTTTTTCTATTTTACTATACTTTGCGAAAAACAGATGGCTGGCTTACGTTCACTGTTGTAGTGCACTACCTAGCATCACTCAGCTTTCCTGTTGTCAAGGTGTAGGAAGCAGCATAAGGGATGTTGGGACTTCAGACCCCCAATTGCCAACTCTGGTCCTAGTTCCAGATTGCATGGAAATATTTGGTAACATTCCTGCACTGAGCTATCATGGTCTGAATATTTATGTGATGCTCTACAAGTGGTACCAAGAGGTTAGTGATGGAATTTTCACTAATGGGACCTTTTCCTGTTTTTAAATTCTAGAATCTTAATACATCCAAAGTGTACATTTTGGTAATTATTTCATTTAGCTATTTACTTTAAGGACTCTCTTTTAAAGCATTAACTCTGCACTAATTTTGACTTATGAAAAGATTCAGCAGTAAGAATAAAAACTGGGCCAAAGCCCAAAGTAATGATCCTTCACAAATAGGATGGAGTTTTAAAAATATGGGCATCCTGTGTGTAGCTTTGAAAATAACCAAAGTACTTGGAATTTAAAAGTTAGGTGAACATAAAAATTGGCATAACCAAATCCTTGACAGACTGATGGATGAAAAGCAGATGGGTTTACACTGTGTGGGAGGAGGCATGGATTTTAGGAAGGACAGCATCAGAGAGGGATGGTTAGAAAGTGAACAAGACACATTGCTCCTTGGAAAACAAGGAAAGTCCCTTTAAGGCATGAAATTCTGCCACTAGGTGGCGATGCCCTATAACTTTACAACTTAGGATACATCACACCAGCACTATGGAAGATTTCTCCATTTAGCACCCCAACAACTCTCTCTCCTCCTTCATTTTTCAGGATGACAACACCTTAGAGGTTTATGGCCATTAGGAGACCTTACTACTAAGCTGTATACTGATGTAATGAAATCTAATATATGTTGTGCAATTAATTATGAGTTATTTAGTTTCAGGATTTTATTACTTCAATCAGTTATGACCATATTTCCTTTTATATGATTGCTCACTCTTTAAACATACCAGATGACTATATAAGGAGCACATAATAAAGTCTAGAGATATCAAAAAAAAGCAGAAAAAAAGATAAAATTAAACTAGAATGGGAGTAATGATTTCATAATATAATTTTTAAAAAAGGAATCCCATATGATTAGAAATTGAAAAAAAAACTCATGGGTCAAAAAAATTATAAGAGAAATTTAAAAATAATAAATGTTGAATGATAAAAATACTATATATAAAAGCCTGTGAAATATTTCTAAAGTGGTAGAAGAAAATTTATAGTTCTAAATTCTTATTTTACAGAAGAACATTGAAAATTAAGAAGCTAAAGATCCAACTCAATAAATTAGAAAAAGAACAACAAAAGCAAAGTAGAAGAAAGTTCAATATAAAAATAAAAGTCAAAATGATTAAAATAGGAAACAAAATATCCAATGATGAGGCCTGATGAAAGCAAAAGCAAGAAATACATTAGAAAATTGATTACTGTAATTTATCTCATGGTCACAGTGTGATATTAATGGTGAAAAAAAGGATATGAACATGGCAGTACATATAGACGGGAAAAAACTGCATAATATTTGTAATAAAACGTCTCAGCAAACTAGGAATATAACAAAAGTTCTTAACTTGAGAAAGACAATCTACTAAAAGAGGTGAAACTTTTGTAGAATTTAGGAACAAAATAAGGAAATCCTCTACCAATGATATTGTTCCTCTTTGTACCGAAGATCCTAACTAGCACAGTAATACAAGCTAAAGAAATATTGGAAAGAAACTGTCATGATTCAAAACATAATTAATTAACAGATAATTCAAGAAAATCTATAAATTATAAGAATAAATAGAATTTAAGAAGGTTACAGCATATAAAATCAATATACAAAAATATTAATCATATTCCCATTTACTAGAAGCAATTAGAAGATATAGTTAAAAAGATGGCATATTTCACAGTAATAATAGAAACTATAAGGTAATTACAAGTGAATCTAACAAAGCATTTCTTCAGATTACACTATTATTATGAATATGTTTTCATATAATGTAGAATACAGTTTCAATTTTATCATTTGCTGCTATCTTTTTATGTTTTGTTTGGCTACTTTTAAACGTGTCAAAACCAACTATTTTTTTTCTCTTCCTCCTCCGAATAATTTTTGGTAAAGAGATTACCTTAAAAAGCACAACTTCCAGGTGCAGGACATCAGAAAAAGCAGGGTAGCATTGTAAATAGTCTTCATTATTTTCACCAGGTGAACTATTATATGACTGCACCAGGGAAATGGAGTCATACTGCAATCGCTCAAAGACTGAAAAATAATAAAAAATGTTGTGACATCATTTTTTCTGTTTTTGTCCATCTCTTTGTCCCCTGGTCTCCTCAAATCATTATCCTTCCCCTACCTCAATTTCAATGACATATTCCTATAAAACAGTTGTATACATAGTATTAGAAAGGATGTATTATATAGTAGTTTAGAGCATAAACTCTGGAATCAAATGTTCTGGGTTCAAAGCTCAGCTCAGCCACTTTGTGCTGTGTAACTTGTGGCAAGTCATATGACTTCCCTTGGCCTATACAAACTTCTCTAGTAGAGTTGTGATTAAATAAATGATAACACGCAAAGCCCTTTAGAAAATTGGCACATAAATCTTTAGTAAATATTGGCTATTATTACAATTTTCAGTGATTTGAATCACTTGGAGGGGAAATTACGTAGTTCTTGCACTTATTGTTTTGTTCTTTTCTTTTCTTTTTTTTCTTTATATTTTTAAAATTGTTTATTTATTTATTTTTTGCACAGAGTCCTGCTCTGTCACCAAGGCCGGAGTGAAGTGGCACGATCTCGGCTCACTGCAACCTCCACCTCCTGGGTTCAAGCGATTCTCCTGCCTCAGCATGCCGAGTAGCTGAGATTACAGGCACACACCACCATGCCCGGCTAATTTTTTTTTTTTTTTTACTTTTAGTAGAGACGGGTTTCGCCATATTGGCCAGGCTGGTCTCGAACTCCTGACCTCAAGTGATCTGTCCATCTCGGCGTCACAAAGTGCTGGGATTACAGGCGTGAGCCACTGCGCCGGGGGTTGCCCTTTTGTTTTCTATCTGCGCAATATTCTCCCTACACCCTGCGACCCTCCACTCCACCACCCCTTTGAATAGAGTTTGTAAACATGTGAGCAGTAAAGCTGTGTGGAATGACAGGGAGATGCCTTCAAGTAAAATAGAGCTCTATTTTTTTTTTCTATGCATTATCAACGAACCCAATGTCTAAAACTTCTTTGGTCACCAATGCTGTCCCATCATTCATTGATTTATTTATTGAAATATCTGTTTCACTCCTATTATGTACTAGGCCTTGGCCATCCATCCCCTATAGCTCTCAGAATAATTCCTACCCATTGCAAGGGCTTCATAAAGGTTTACTGCACGAATGAAAAAACGATGCTTCTCTCCTTTGAATTAAAAGGTTCTATAAAACTTGGGTCAGATTCAGTTTTATATTTTGCATTCTATAAAGTTCATCTAAATATCAGAGATTCCTTTTCTGATAGTAAGAATAGGAATCTTAAAATACAAATAGTATCGCCTGATGGATATTGGAATGAAGTATACGCTCAGCATAACATTTAAGGCCCTGAAACACTTTATCTTCACCTCCTAAGTCCTTCTTGTAGATTCAAAATTATAGCCAAGCTGTTTCCAGAAGAACTCTGCCTTTTCTCTGGAAACCCTCAGACTGAAAAGCATTCCCTGCCCCTCCACATGGCAGATGTCACTCAACCTTTAAGGTCCACCCAAAGTTCCTCCTTCCTTTGTTTTTTTTTTTTTTTTTTTTTTTTTTGAGACGTAGTTTTTTGCTATTGTCTCCCAGGCTGGAGAGCAATGGCGTGATCTCGGCTCACTGCAACCACTGCCTTCCAGGTTCAAGCGACTGTCCTGCCTTAGCCTCCAGAGCTGCTGAGATTACAGGTGTCCACCATCACGCCTGGCTAATTTTTCTAACTTTAGTAGAGACGAGGTTTCACCGTGTTGGCCAGGCTGGTCTCGAACTCCTGACCTAATCTGCTCGCCTCGGCATCCCAAAATGCTAGGATTATAGGCGTGAGCCACCGCGTCTGCCCCACCCCCTCCTTTTTGATAGCTCATGATTACTACCAGGCAGTGACTTGTCCATCCTCCACCCTTCCTGAATACCTTGAACAAGCAAACATTATGGCACTTGGATTTGACTATCACATTGTTGCTTTAAAAAAAAAATTATTCAACTCTCCTGCCTTACACAGAGAAAGACATACACTTCGGAAGGCTGGCCTTCAATAGATGCTTGTTATTGGTCTTGAACCAGGCATTGTTTTTTTAAATAAAAAATTTCTCCAAGGCACGCAAAAGTAGAGAGAATAATACAATAAAGCCCCACATATACATCATCCAGCTTTAAATTATCAACTCATGAACATTTTTATTACACCTTCCCTCCACCTTGGCACCAATGACTTACTTTCAAGCAAATCAGAACATTCAAGTCTATTTCTTAGAAAATGTAACTACAAGTATTTCATCTAAAATATTAAAAATAATTATTTAATGTCATTAAATATCCATCGTATATTTTATACGTATATTCACAGCGTATTTTGTGAAAGAGCTGCTTAATCCCTGCATGTTCTTCTTTCTATTTTGAAATCATGGAAAAAACAGGGAAAAGGGGAAGGATATCTGTGAGAATGCACAAATAAGTTTCAAAGAGCCTAGATGACCTAGATGAGAAAGAATCTGACCTGGTTTACGGTGGGAGAAATTTATTTCTCTACTTCTCCGGAGGAGGAGGGTGCGACTTCAGGCCGGCTGATGCAGGAGGAGGTGCGGAGGGTAGAGTGGTACTACCTCCGTTGGGAGTTCCTTCCGGATAATCCCAACGCGGAGCGAGGAGGCAGCGCTTTTTTGGAGGCTTGGCTTCCCGTGCGTTTCCAGGTGGGAGAGTGGATCTCCCGGAGGCACAAGGTTGGTCTCCCATAAGGATTATAGAAACGGGGCCTCAGTTTTCTCCGGTGGGCCCTGGCAAAGCCAAGAGACCTGAGATGGCGGCGGGTCCCCTCCAGGCACAGAGCTGGCTTCCTCCTGTTTCGCTCTTACCGTATTTCCTGTATCCTGAGACGTACATCCCTTCTCCGCCTCCACCCCTCCTCCCTACCCCATTCTATTTTAACGTTTCTATTAGGATGGGTGTTAAAAACCGATGTTATTATTTAATATAGTGTTTTTCCATCGCGCCCCACCCCCACCAAATGTAAATAAATTTATTGAGAATTTCATATAATTTATGCAATTTTAAGATGAGAAGAAATTCAAGTTTACCTTTAAGTAGTAAACTCTGAATGGCTTATATGAGTGGGAGGGATGCAGGGGTGGGCGGTAACCAAAGAAATTATTGAAGAGCTTTACAAGCCAGCTGCAGATGCACATCACAGAGCTATGAAAATAGCTACAAATATTTAAAAAGAAATATGCAAACATGTAAGCTGACTAAAGTGCAGAATAGCACACTAGCACTAACCATGGAAATTGAATGTGGAAAACGAATTCACCGTATGTCATAGAATCTAAGATCATTTTTTCTTTATTTTTTTTAAGCAAATTTGTAATTTTTGAAGGCTTACTATATTTTTCCCCAAATTTGAATATCTAGGAAATCTCTGCGACCTAACAATTGATGGTACACTATACTTTAGTTGACAGCTTTTTTTTCCTTTCTTGTAGGTATGGAAAATAATGACCCATCTTACCATTGATGATATGTTATATTCTATGATTTATGGTAACCAGAAGAAAGTACCACGTGTCTCAGAAGAAAAGGCTTCTGGAACTTCTTAGACCTTCATTATTAAAATAGCCTACACATCCGTCTCCCTTTAGCTATGGACAAACTAGATCACACTTTTTCAGCTTTGTCCTCAGTGTTTTTTGTTTGTTTTTTGTTGTTTTAAATGGAGAGAGCTTAGTCCTTAATGCCAGAGTAGAACTGCCTATTAAACTCTGCTGTTTACAAGCTCTGAGCTCTTTAAGTAATTATTTAAATTCCTGGAACTTTGGTTTCCAGGCCATAATTTTTTCCTTGCAAAAGTGTTTCCATAACCAGGGGTAATACATGTAAAGCATTTACTACTATAACTACCTTATCTCCACCCTTCTACCTTCCTTCAAGTAACCAGCACAGCCCTTTACACAAATTAGGTACTCTAAAAATTTGGGAAATAAATGACCCCGTGGTTTTGTACCAAATGCTACTAATAAAGACAGAAAAGTCAGATGTAGCTGTAGCTTAATGAAAAGATGTGAGGGAGGTATTGAGAGAGGCAATATTTTAGAGCTAGAAGAGTGGTTGGAACTAGACATACTGATGTGGGAGTCAGCAACATAGAGGTGATAGTTAAAGACAAGAGAATGGATGATATTCCCAAGAGAAAATCTAAAGAAAAGATAATTGAGCTAAAAACAGAATATTGAGTAATTAGAGACAGATAGAAGAAAAGAAGTCTGCTGCAAATGCTGAGAAAAAGTGGTCAAAGTCAGCGAAGAAGATTCTAACCCAGTTTCTCAACCTTGGTGCTATTGACATTTGAGGCCAAATCTATCTTTGTAGTGGTGGCCAGAGTTTACCATTTAGCAATGTCCTAAGCTAAGCCTCTACCAACTATATGCCAGTACTACTCCCTACTCCTCGAGTTGTGATAACCAAAAAGATTTCCAAACATTGCCAGATGTCCCTGGAGTACACGATTGTCCCCAGTTGAGAACCATTGGTCTATCCTTAATCCACCAAATTTGCTCCTTTCCTAGTTTTTTTTTTTTCTTTCATCTCAGTGAAATGTTATGCCTTCCACTCAGATATACAAGTCAGACCTTGGAGTCTTCATTTTTTAGAAACTGAAGAATATTTTATTATTTATTAAAGTAAATGAAGTAACAATTTCACAGTCTTTTTACATAGGTCTCTAAATCTTCAAGACTAAAGACATTAAGAGTTGCAATTAAGTTGTTCAGTAGCGATAATTTTAGCAAATTTAGAGAAATATGCGCCTAGTTAGTAAAGTAACAGGAATTTAAAATTTTATCAACTCCAGCTAGGTTTAATTTATGGTAAACATTTGACTTGAGGTGAAAACAGTCCCAACTTAGAGCTGCTTCTATCAACATGGACTATTTATACCACAGTTAGATTTATTTATTTATTTATTTATTTATTTATTTATTTATTTAATTGTTTGTTTGTTTTTATGCTTTGTGGTAAAGCATACATAATATAAACTTTACCATCTTAACATTTTTTAAATGTACAGTTCAATAAGGTAAAGTATATTCTCATTGTTGTACAACCAATCTCCAGAACTTTGCCATACCTATCAAACAACTCCATTTTACCCTCCTTCCAGCTGCTGGAAATCACTATTATACTTGCAACTGGAATTTTGTTTGTTTTCATTATATTAAAAAGGAGACCTAAAACCTTTGTTATTCCAGGTTTCAAAACAGGGTTTTTTTCCCATCATCTTCACGTTAAACATTTTTCCAACATCAATGAATCAGCTGAATGTGAATCATGAAGCCAGAAGAGGGCACTGTTAGGTTGAAGGAACATAGAGGCCTATGTGAGAAGTGCTATAGATCCAACTCTCTTTCATAACTTACAATGCTCAAAAGATGACAATAGAAAATAAAACTAAACCCACCTCTGAGTGATAGTAAACTGTTTTCATTTAGTTTTTTAAATTGAGAAGTTGGTTGATTAATTTGATTTCTTTTGAAAATTAGCTTTTCTTTTTAAAGTTTTTTTAATTTTTAAATTTTTTTATTTCTATAGGTGTTTTGGGGAACAGGTGGTATTTAGTTACATGAGTAAGTTCTTTAGTGGTGATTTGTGAGATTTTGGTGCACCCATCACCCAAGCAGTATACACTGAATCCAGTTTGTAGTCTTTTATCCCTCATGCCCCTCCCACCCTTTCCCTGAATTCCCAAAGTCTATTTTATCATTATGATGCCTTTGTGTCCTCGTATCTTAGACCCCACTTATGAGTGAAAACATACGATGCTTGGTTTTCCATTCCTGAGTTATTTCACTTAGAATAATACTCTCCAGTTCCATCCAGTTTGCTGCGAACGCCATTAATCCGTTTGTTTTTATGGCTGAGTTGTATTCCATCATATATATATAACAATTTTGTTAACCATTCATGTGATGGGCATTTGGGCTGGTTCCATAGTTTTGCAATTGTGAATTGTGCTGCTATAAACATGCATGTGCAAGTATCTTTTTCATATAATGACTTTTCCTCTGAGTAGATGTGTAGTAGTGGGATTGCTGGATCGAATTGTATTTCTATTATTAGTTCTTTCAGGAATCCTCACACTGTTTTTCATAGTATTTATACTAGTTTACATTCCCTCCAGCATTGTAGAAGTGTTCCTTTTCAATGGCATCCACACCAACATCTATTATTTTTTTTGAGTTTTTGATTATGGCCATTCCTGCAGGAGTAAGGTGGTATAGCATTGTGGTTTTGATTTGCATTTCCCTGATCATGAGTGATGTTAAGCAGTTTTTTATGCTTGTTGGTTATTTGTATATCTTCTTTCGAGAACTGTCTATTCGTGTCCTTAGCCCACTTTTTGATGGGATTGTTTGTTATTTTTTCTTATTGATTTGTTTGAGTTCATTGTAGATTCTGGATATTAGTCCATTGTCAGATGCATAGATTGCGAAAACTGCCTCCCACTCTGTTGGTTGTCTGTCTACTCTGCTCACTCTTCCTTTTGCTGTGCAGAGGCTCTTTAGTTTAATAGTCCCACTTATTATCTTGGTTTTTGTTTTAATATTCCCACCTATTATCTTTGTATTTAGTTCAACCTATTTATCTTTGTTTTTGTCACATTTGCTTTTGGGTTCTTGGTCATGAATTCTTTACCTAGGCCAATGTATAGACGGGTTTTATAGATGTTATCTTCTAGTTTTTTTTGTTTTTTTTTTTTTTTTGAGATGGAGTTTTGCTCTTGTTGCCCAGGCTGGGGTGCAATGGCACGATATCGGCTCACTGCAACCTCTGCCTCCCGGTTTCAAGCGATTCTCTTGCCTGAGACTCCCAAGTAGCTGGGATTACAGGCATGCGCCACCACCCTCGGCTAATTTGTATTTTTAGTAGAGATGGGATTTCTCCATGTTGGTCAGGCTGGTCTCAAACTCCCGACCTCAGGTGATCCACCCACCTTGGCCTCCAAGGTTCTGGGATTACAGGCATAAGCCACCGCACCCGGCCATCTTCTAGAATTTTTATAGTTTCAGGTCTTAGATTTAAGTCCTTGATCCATCTTAAGTAGATTTTTGTATAACCTAAGATGAGGATACAGTTCCACTTTCCTACATGTGGCTTGCCAATTATCCCAGAATCATTTGTTGATTAGGGTGTCCTTTTCCCACTTTATGTTTTTGTTTGCTTTATTGAAGATCAGTTGGGTGTAAGTATTTGGGTTTATTTCTGGATTCTCTATTCTGTTCCATTGGTCTATGTGCCTATTCTTATACCAGTACCATGCTGTTTTGGTGACTGTGGCATTATAGTATAGTTTGAAGTCAGGTAATGTGATGTCTCGGGATTTGTATTTTTTGCTTAGTCTTGTTTTGGCTATGTGGGCTGAATTGTTTTTTCTTTCTGTGAAGAATGTTGGTGTTATTTGGATGGGAATTGCATTGAATTTGTACTTGCTTTGGCAGTACAGTCATTTTCACAATATTAGATTTTACCCATCCATGAGCCTGGGATGTGTTTCCATTTATTAGTGTCATCTATGATTTCTTTCAGCAGTATTTTGTAATTTTCCTTGTAAAGGTCTTTCACCTCCTTGGTTAGGTATACTTCCAAGTATTTTGTTTATTTATTTATTTTGCAGCCATTGTAAAGAGGGTTGAGTTCTTGATTTGGTCCTCAGCTTGGTCACTGTTGGTGTATAGCAAAGCTACTGATTTGTGTACATTAATCTTGTATCCTGAAACTTTGTTGAATTAATTTATCAGTTCTAGGAGCTTTTTGGAGGAGTATTTAGGGTTTTCTCAGTATACAATCATATCATCAGCAAACAGTGAC